ACAGTGTATGTGTGTTCCCTTCTCTCCACATCCACGCCAGCACCTGCAACTTTGAGACATTGTGATGTTGGCTGTTCTCACTGGGGTTGGGTTATATCTCAGGGTGGTTTGGGTTTGCTTTTCTGTGACAATCAGGGATGATGAGCATTTTTTCAAATGTTCGCCATTTGTCTGTCTTCATCAGGGAAAGTTCAGTTCATATCTCTTGCCCAGCAGTAGATGGGATTGTTTGCTCTTTTTCTGTTGATTAATTTGAGCTTTCTGTAGATTCTGGTTATCAACCCTTTGTCAGATTCATACCTTGCAAATATCTTTTCCCCTTCTGAAGGCTGCATTTTTGCTTTACTTGTTGTGATGGACAACAATCTTAATTGACTGTAGATTTTATTCTCAATATATAATCAATCATTAATTTGTGTTCATCCCAGCTCATATTATATTTTTCATGTGTCAATTCATCTCTGTCTCCACTCCTTCCATGCCATCAGGGATTTAATATCTCTTTGGGAGTAAACATTACTCAGATAATTCTCCAGAGAGATGTTCCTACAAAATACAACTTTTCTTCATCCAGTCTCTCAGTGCTCATGACACAATATATCACAGAATATTTTTAAGCAATCGTATTTATCAGCTAACCTTATAATGATGTAGCCAGTTTCTAGGACAGTCAAATTTTCATTGATGGGAAATGGTCCAGAAGAAAAAATACATATACACATATATATGTGTATGTATGTGTGTGTGTGTATAAATATTCTCTTTTGGATATGGTGAAAAGATAATATTTTGGTGACATTATATGGAACTCAGCATCCTCTGAGGCACATTTGGGGACTTAGGAAGCTGTATCACCATCTGGAAGCATGTTGTACCATCCTCAATTGAAGAAAACACCTCGGTAATTTCTGTACCATTTCTTTATAAAAATAACTCATATTTCATAATTGTGATTGTCAGAGTCCTTTTGTACATCATTTCAAGAAGCTTTGATTACCAAGCAGTTGCTCACTGGAATCGTGACAGCAGTTTGCTGACTCAGTTCTCTGTTTCCAGACCTCAGAATGAGCGTTCTAAAATGTCGTTCTTGTCATAGGGTAATGGCTTAGCAAATAAAAGTGATGAGGATGTCTTTCCCAACACAGAACATGTGAATATGCCTCAGTATAAAATCCAAAGTCTGCAATACCCTCTCCTCCTCCTCTCATGACAGCTGCCCAGCTCACTTCTACAGTTAGACTTTCTCATTTCAGTTTAGAACCAGGTCCCCTAACGCCCACCTCATATATTTAATACCACACGCTTTAGGTGTTTTATGTACTTTTATTATGTACTCTAGGTGTTATGCATTTCTTCAATCCTTTTAATCTTTGGAATTCTGCCTGGCCCTCTACTCCAGTAACCAAGGGTGACAGAGACACAGGATTCCATCCATCCACCATTGCACCCCCAGCCTCTGAAATTTGCTTTCTGAAATTTGCTTGAGTTGTTCTAAGTGACAGTGAATCAAATGCACACAATTGAGATATTAATCAGATTTCTTTATAATTTAATTTTTTCATGTATATATGCTGATCTTTATGTGAATTTTGTTTTTTTTTTTTTTGGCTGGGGCTGGGTTTGAACCCACTACCTCTGGTATATGGGACCAGCGGCCTACTCCTTTGAGCCACAGGCACCACTAATCTTTATGTGAATTTTTAAAAGTATATTTAAAAACTAATTTAAGAAAGAAAATTGAGGAAATATATATTCAGATAAAAGAGAATATGCAATTTTTAACTGAACATAGATTTGTACAAGTTAGTGGCAAAAAAAATATAGTATCTACATCATTGAAATATATGCATGCATAATATAATTTCATGGAAAGTCCTTTTAGGAAAATTTGCATACCTCTCCATCTGTCCAGGGAGAAAATATTAGACCATCAATGTGCTTCTCAGCATGTTTCCCTTAGTATCATGTTAAACGAAGACAGAAATGAAGACCAGCCCAGCCAGATTTCATTGTTGGCTCCAGTTCTATTACTTTATTAATCTGAACTTTGTTTGAACTGCTATTGAACAAGTTTTTGAGCCCTATAATTTTATTTTGTAAAACGGATTTAATTTGGAATCACTTTCTCATCAGAGTAGCATAAAAGGTGATGCTCTCATTCCCTTTTGTTAATAATTCTTGACAATGAGAAACACTTTTCATCCGTAGTATTCAAGGCACAAATATCTAGAATAACAAGATAAATAAGCAACTTAGATGAGTTTTTTAAAGAAATCCTTCCTTGTATTCATTTATACAACTACTTTTTGTTTAATATTTTTGTGTTGAGGAAAGGCATTATTAAGTATATCTCAAAAATTGATAATTTATATAAACTAATACTCCTATTTTATATTGACTGACAGTTTATAATTCAGTTTATAGATTATACTCTTAGCCAACAAGTTTTCCTTAACTATTCCTCAAAGTAGGTTTCATTGTTACCTGCTGTGAAGGTGGGGAAAGACTCAGATGCCTTGCTTGCTCCAAATCACAGTGTACAATGACTGCAGCTTAGACTCGTTACCCTCAAATTGCATGTTAAATAAAGGACATACTGTGGTGTGTAAATAGTATTGGATGTAGTCTTGAATCATAATAATCTGAAATGACAAGTGGACATCTTTTCCTAGGAAAAAAAAAACACATGTGCTAAATAATTAATAACAGGAAAATGGTTATCTTTCTTCCTTAAAATTTTATTTGAAAATTAAAATGAAAACTCTTTCATTGCTATAGTAAACAGAACAATGAATATCCCCAGCCAAGACTTGTGTACGCCAATGATTTACTTTTTTATGAAAAGCATCCATGTTCAAGGTTAATTCAATGGAATAAATAATACCTTATATATGATTGATTTTATTATGCTAGTGGCCCACTATTTTTGTTAAGAAATAGAGCCCAATACAATATATCTTACTGGCAACTCAATGTACGAGGTAAATGTGAGTGGAAATTCATTGAAAAGGGGACAGAACTGTTCATTCAGTTCACTTCCATATATGTATAGAGTACTTTGATTAATTAGAAGTTTGTTTTGTAACATATTAATACAAAGCTCAAGTCTCTCCAATCTCTTAAACCTTCATAATTAAAGGAGTCGTTTTCAACATTTAGATAATAGGCCAGGCACAGTGGCTCATGCCTATAATCCCAGCACTCTGGGAGGTCGAGGTGGGTAGATTGCACAGGTTCAAGACCAGCCGGAGCCAGAGCAATACTTTTTCTCTAAAAATAGCCGGGCATTGTGGCAGGCACCTGTAGTCTCAGCTACATGGGAGTCTGAGGCAAGAGAATTTCTTAAGCCCAAGTTTGAGGTGGTTGTAAGCTGTGGTACCATAGCACTTTACCAAGGGCTACCCAGACCTGGCCAAAAACTGCAAAAAAAAAAAAAAAAAAAGAAACTCTGTCTCAGAAAAAAACAAAAACAAACAAACAAACAAAACCATTTAGTCAGATGCTCATATTTAGAACATCAAATAATACAATAAAATACTCCTTATCAGAAACTAATAATAGCCTGTGCTAACAAGATAAACATGAATTTTACACAGTGTTATTGATATTCCTTCAAAATATGCACATAATGAGATTCCCAGCAATATGCAGGATGCCATTCTGTGGAAATCTGAGCCAAAAACTGTTTTCATGAGGAACAAATAACAGACATGTACTGTGCACGCAACAATCTCTCTGACAAGCTAAGATGTGGAATCTTAAAAATACATGAATGTCAATGTTAGCATCTTTATTTTTCTAGGTTGTAACTCTTATTAATGGCAAAGCCAGGATTCAGAATGTCAGATTTCCAAGCCCCTGCCCTTCATCCCACCTATAAAAATCTCATGATATTCTGAAATCAAAGCCTTACTCTAATACCCGCATTTATTATTATAAGTACAAAGTGCATAAAAATATTTTATTAGATTATTTAATTAACATGAAATGATTTTGATTTAATTAGGATTGTGTTATGAGAAAAAAGAAACAAATCAATGGAGAGAAATAATGTGCAAATTGTATTAGTTCTGTGAAGTTTTTATGCATTTGAAAAGATCTCTATTTTTTTTTAGTGTAATATAAATCTAGGCCTGTCATCTTGCATCTGAGGATATTTTTGTTTGACATGTTGCTAAAAGCACTTTAATGCTAGAAACTCCAAACAATAACTTGTACAATCAATTTACTTTAATTTCCAGAATTAATCACAATCTCACTATGTGATCTCGACAGCGTATCTCCTTTCTGACAGTAATGAACTTCTTGACTGACACATTCATGTCTTGAAAGAAAACCGTTAGTTGATGAACAGTGAAGTGATTTGAGCATATCGGCATTACTCCGCTGTTTTATGATCTGAGATACAGAGAGAAACGTATTTGATGTGGAACACTTTTCCTATAATCTTGATGAGTCAAAGGGAAAGGATATACACTGTTTCTAAGCTGTAAATGCATTATATCCTTCAATCAATTAAAAAATCTTATTACTTTAGCAAATACTTTAGTAACCCAATAATTGTACCACAGTTTTGTTCTCAGTATAAGCAGAAAATATATAACTTCAGCAAATCATAATATCTGGCATCCAGAGAAAGTAAGAAGAAGTAGAAGGATAAAGAAGGAAAGGGAGCTACAGGTCGTGGGGGAGGAGAAGCCTTGACAAGTACCAGCGGCGCTCTGAGAACTAACAAACCGAACTGACAAAATCCACCTGATTAGCAACAAAAATTTACCTTATATCTTATGTTACGACTCTGTTTTGAAAGGAGTGAGACAATACATTTTGAGCTTTAGAAAGTGTTTTAAATATTTGCCACCCATTTGACAGTTATTCTAAACCAAGTCCCTAATAATTTTGGTAAAGCAATTTCAATCAAAGCTATACTCATAACAGCAATGATCTTGTTCCGGGATCCAAAAACAGCAACTAGAATCTGTCTCTCTTTATTGTTCTAGGCAATTCAGAACATCAGTGCAGTAGACAGAGATGAATCTATAGAAGATCCCCATTTTTACTTTGATCTATCAGTAGATGACACAAACCACTCAAGTTTTACAATCAGAGATAATCAAGGTAATATCTATCATTGGCTTGTAAAGACTGTTGATCTGGTCTTTGTGAATCACGTTTGATCTTATAGAATGTCTGGCATTTTAGCGGAATACAATGAAATTTATACTGGTTTTGTAACAAGATAAGTTTGAGAAATAGTAAAGAGTTAACAATAAAAAATTTATTTTGTACAAATAAATAAATGTCAGCTATCTCTCTCACCTCTTAGATCTTGGTGAATAAAATCACATGGGTTTTATAGACCTCAAGAACTTGATAAAGAATTGGCTTAACAGAGAGGATTTGGCAAAAGTCATAAGTAAGCATGCATTTTAAAACGATTTATTGATTTTCATTTTACTGCTATTCTCTCTAGCAGAAAATAAAACCCAAAGAAAAAGTTCCAAAAATACGTGTTCCATTTCTGTGTGCATTTCTTTAAACTAGAAGCTCTTTGTAAAGCCCTCAGTGTCTGGAAGCCCCTGAGAAATCTGAATGACCCTGAAAATATAATCGCAGTTCTGACACCATGCCTCCTTTCATGAGTTCGTATAATTCAAATTTCAATCTATGTCTAAGGGAGGAAATGATAAATACTTAACCTACAGTCATGGTAGTTTGGTTGAAGCAAAGATACTTGGGCTGATTAATTAGGAGCTATAAATAGATATAATTGATTTAAGAGAGTTACTAATACTTTTCCTTTTATACTAAATGATTTTACTGCTCTATGGATAAAGAGTTCTAATGAATGTTATATTAAGAGGCAGAATATTTCCCCGCTCTGTGTAAAAGCAGATTAACTTTATACGGAGGCAATCTGTTTTCTTTCTGCATTTGTTTCACTTTAAGAGATTTTTGGTCACAATATTGTATTCCATTTTAATTTTACTTTATACCTCAAGGATATGAAACGCTGCCAGGTTTATTACTCAAGTATTTGTAACCAAATTCCTCCAACTGTCCTAACACCTGAGGTGAGCTTCAGTCCGGGATCTTCTGTGGAAGAGTGAATAGTTTGTGTTTCTGCCCATTTCATTCTGGTCAAATTTCCCTGGGGAAGGGAACTCAAATATACTTAGGAAAAAAATGTACAAATACCAATATGAAAAAGCATTATCTTAGGTTTGTTACTATTATTATAAAATAAATTTGAGGGAAATAAGTTGATTGAAACATAAAAGGTTGACTTGGTTTAATGTTTACATTTACAAGTAATTTAATAAAATACATATTCAAAAAGAAATCAACTCTCTATCTTACCTTGTAGATCTTCCTGGTAAATAAAATCACATGGGCTTTATAGCTCTCAAGAACTTGATAGAGAATTGGCTTAAAAGAGAGGATTTGGCAAAAGGCATAAGCAAGCATGCATTTTAAAACAATTTTATTTATTTGCACTTTACTGCTATTGTCTCTAAAGTTTGTAAGATGGTTACAGAAAATATTTTGGAGGAAGCCAATCCTAAAAAGAAATGTAAAACCGCAGTGCTGAGGCACAAGTTACACTGAAAGAAGTCGGTCTGAATGTTTTGGGATTTGGAGAAGATTAATTCTCTATATGTTGAAGTATATATTGTCATTTTTGTCAATTTTTGAATGTCCTCTCCAGATGAATGAATCAGTATGACTATAGTTTAGTGTTTTTCTGAATTGTAGATTATTGTGTCTCATTAGAAAATGTATTGAGGGCAGCACCTGTGGCTAAGTGGGTAGGGCATCGGCCCCATATACAAAGGGTGGCGGGTTCAAACCCCGCCCTGACAAACTGCAACAAAAAATAGCCAGGTGTTGTGGCAGGCACCTGTAGTCCCAGCTACTTGGGA